ATCTCCTGAGCTTAGGGCACGACTTGGACTTGGGCAAATAGCCACCGTACACAGTTCATTGTCTTTTTCCAGGCGCTGCCAGATAAGCAGAGTGCATTTTAAACCTTTGGAAAGAAATTTGATTCAATTTGTTTTGTACATCAGATTTTTTGTGTCCAGAACTTTTTAAAATATACGATGGCTAAAATTTTGCATCTCAGATATCATTTTTGTCATTTTTGAACTTTTTTTTTTTTTTTTTTGCCTCAGATTGAAAAGTTTAAGTATAATATTTGAAGTTGTCCAGCATCTTTCTTTTGATTTTGTTTTCTGCTCAGGCTGATTTTCCCTTCCTGGATTCCCTTTTCAGTGTGACACTCACCTTTACTGTTTGAAGAACTGTTTGGAGTTCTGACTGAAGAGTGATAGTTTGTTTCTTTTTTTCTTTTGAGACCGGATCTCTCTCTGTCGCCTAAGCTGGAGTGCAGTAGGGTGATCATAACTCACGGAAGCCTCAAACTCAAGTGATCCTCCCACCTCAGCTTTCAGAGTAGCTAGGACCACAGGTACATGCCACCCTGTAGGGTGATCATAGCTCACTGAAGCCTCAAGCTCACGTGATCCTCCCACCTCAACCTCCTGAGTAGCTAGGACTACAGGTGCGTATCACCGTGCCTGGTTAAGGTTTTACACATTTTTTTGTAGAGATGAGAGTCTTGCTGTGTTGTCCAGGCTGGTCTCAAACTCCTAACCTCAAGCAGTCCTCCTACCTTGGCCTGCCAAAGTGCTGGGACAATAGGCATGAGTCACCATACCCAGCCTTTTTAGTGTTTTTAAATGATTTATTATAAATATTTGTCCTTTATATGAAAAAACCAGTTTACATGAAAACTACACCTAGGGCAATGTTTCTGTTTTAATAGTAAGCTTATGAGCTGGCATCTGTAATCCCAGCTATTCGAGAGGCTGAGGCAGGAGGATTCCTTGAGGTGAAAAGTTTGAGGCTAACTTGGGCAACGTAGTGAGACCCTGTCTGTAAGAAATCTCTTAAAATTTAGCCAAGTGTGGTTACACATACCTGTGGTCCTAGCTACTTGGAAGGCTGAGGCAGGAGGATCACCTGAGCCCAGGAGTTCATGGCTGCAGTGAGCTATCTAGGTCACCACTGTGCTTCAGCCTGGGTGACAGAGTGAGACCCTATCTCTAAAAAATAGTATTGCCCAGGAGTGGTGGCCCATGCCTATAATCCCAGCATTCTAGGGGGCCAAGACAGGCAGATCACCTGAGGTCAGGAGTTCGAGACCAGCCTAGGAAACATGGTGAAACCCGACTCTACTAAAAATACAAAAAAATTAACCAGGCATGGTGGTGGGCACCTGTAGTCCCAGTTACTCAGGAGGCTGAGGCTGAGGCTGAGGCAGGAGAATAACTTGAGCTCGGGAGGCGGAGGTTGCGGTGAGCCCAGATCAAGTTACTGCATTCTAGCCTGGGTGACAGAGTGAGACTCTGTCTCTAGATAGATAGATAGATAAATAAATGAATGCATTCTAGCTAGCCTGGGTGACAGAATGAGACTGTCTCTAAGTAAATAAATAAATAGGTAGATAGATAGATAGCTTATGGAAAAATGTAGCTCATATTATTTTATTCGGTGTGGCTATTTGTTTTTTACATTCTTCCAGCTGTATAACGTAGCTTTTTTTGTGTTTTTAGATGTTTTCCCCCGTGGTTAAGAAATTTTGCCACTGCTTTGTCAATTAGATCTTCATATGAAATTGTCTTCTCAGCTGGCCTGAGATCTGTTAGTGACTTTTTAGTAGACTGTTGGAGATATTTTTCTTACTTTGTCTGAGTTTGTTTTCCTATACGTTTTATGTTTTCTCCTTGATTTCTTTTCTAAGTCCTCTGTGTAGTTGTATGTTATTTTATTCTCTAATTTGTAGATGTTTTTCTGTCTGCTCACCCATCACTAATTTCTGAGTCTACACTCATGTATTTCTTCTCTCCTCTTAATGCTTGCTTCAGATGCTTTCCTGCTACTCTTTGCTTCATGTGTCATCTGATTACTTCATTCCATGAAGCATTTTTTTGTTGTTTTTTTTTTTGAGACAGAATCTTGCTCTGTCGCCCAGGCTGGAGTGCAGTGACAGGATCTTGGCCCACTGCAAGCTCCGCCTCCCAGGTTCACGCCATTCTCCTGCCTCAGCCTCCCGAATAGCTGGGACTACAGGTGCCCACCACCACGCCCGGCTAATTTTTTGTATTTTTTGTAGAGACGGGGTTTTACCGTGTTAGCTAGAATGGTCTCGATCTCCTGAGCTTGTGATGTGCCCACCTCAGCTTCCCAAAGTGCTGGGATTACAGGCGTGAGCCACTGCGCCTGGCCTCCATGAAGCTTTTAAGTAGAAAAAGTGTATGACCATTTCTTGTTGGGACTCTGCTATGTCACTGCTTTTATTCTTTTTTTTTTTTTTTCTTTTTTTTTTTAGGGAGATGGAGTTTTGCTGTGTTGCTCAGGATGGTCTCAGACTCCTGGGCTCAAGCAGTTCTCCCACCTTGGCCTCCCAAAGTTTTGGATTACAGGTGTGAGCCGCTGCACCTGGCCTTTTCTTCTTCTTGGAAAACAACAACAACAACAACAACAAAAACACTAATAATACTTTTGTGGCATCCTCTTTTGTCCATCTTAATTGTTTGGTTTGGGGTTAATTGGCCTTTTGTTCTGTCTATTGTTTCATGGAGTTTTGTGAGTAACTTCATATTCATTCTTTTCCCCCCTTTTGTTCAGGGACGATCTTGACTTCCTTTGGAGATGTCTTAACATATTTTAATGTACACTGTATTTTAATTTGCTGTGTAAGTTATTTATTGGCCTGCTACAAAGTATTCTGAAGACTTTCACTTAAGACCCTCCTCAACCTGATTGCTGGGGGCAATCCAGTAGATGTGATTAAAGGTAGATGTGAAAGCTTTTTCTCAGCAGGTATCCCTCCTTGTTTTAGAATAGTGTTTTTTGATGTTTTCCCAAACAATTTTATGAGTGGATTGAATGCATGATAGATAAAATGAATGGCTTTGAAGGGACCTCGTGCTTCATGTGTAATTTGAAGTAGCCTTTTTTTTTTTGAGACGAAGTCTCGGTCTTGTCGCCCAGGCTAGAGTGCAATGGTGTGATCTCGGCTCACTGCAACCTCCTCCTCCTGGGTTCAAGTGATTTTCCTGCCTCAGCCTCCTGGGTAGCTGGGATTACAGGTGCGTGCCACCACGCCCGGCTAATTTTTATATTTTTAGTAGAGACAGGGTTTGATCATGTTGGCCAGGCTGGTCATGAACCCCTGACCTCAGGCCATCTGCCCATTTTGGCCTCCCAAAGTGTTGGGATTATAGGCGTGAGCCACCACACCTGGCCTGAGGTAGCCTTTTGACGAGGAAAGAATAAAAAGTTTGAAAACTACCATTCCAGAAGATATGTTAGAATCCTTCAGTCAAAACTTTTGATCTAGAAAACTTCTTAAAGATTGTCTAGCCCACCTGCTTATATTTGAAGTTACTGGCCCAGAAGAGTGAAGTAACTCAAAGTCATGAATCCCCACATTACACTATCTCGGATGGCGGGGTTCGTCCGTGATGAGCTCGGTATCACTAATCTTTAATTTCTGTGGCCTTGCTCTCCAGATCTGTGGCTCCTAGAAGATTTTGATGTGTAACTGTTCACATGTTTTCAGTTTTTTCTATTGGAATTTACTTTTACCCTTTTCCCCTTCTGCCCAGGGGAAAACACAGTCATTCACCTTTAAAGTGTGTTGGTTTGGTATATATATTGTAAGCTTGTACATATATACATATAAAAACACTTTTAAGTTTCTCTGCTTTAAACGTAGGTTAACTATTTAAGAAAATCTAAGTGCCAGGCTTCATGTCTGCTGTTATTTATAACCTGCCGGCCAGATCAGAATACTAGGCCAAAAACCTCTTGAGGTGAAAACTGCATTTATATGTAGCTGATTACGAAACATAGGATTTGAGGAGTGTCAGGTTTGTTAACTGTTCGTGATGAAGAAACCTTGGGAAGCTGAGCTATGTGTTTCTATATGAGTCAGTAGGATAGGTTGCTAAGAGCCAGTTACTCTTTTGAAAATGTCTAAAGAAATATACTGTGAGTTGGTCATAAGATCTAGGCCCACTATAGTCCAAGTCTGTCATTGTGACTGGAGCACTGTATTCGATTTTGGTTGTGATTTTTTTTTTTTTTTTGGTAAGGGGCATTGATATTAAAGTGCTTTATAAAAAGTCAATAAAAGTCATTTTATAGGTTCGATATTAAAAGACAGAGGCTATGTTCTGTGCAGCAGTTGTAGCAACCAGCAATGTTCAGCCCAAAAAGTAGTAAGTGGGTTATCTGTAATCAAATATTTGAACATTACAGCAGACAAGAAGAAATAAAAGGTGGTAGTTTACAGGGAAGCACTTTTGGTTTAAAATGAAAAACTTTGGAACGAGTAGAATTGTCCAACAGTTAGACAAGCTACCTCTCATGGAGTTTACAGGGAAGCACTTTTGGTTTAAAATGAAAAACTCTGGAATGAGTAGAATTGACCAGCAGTTAGGCTACCTTTCAAGGAGGTGAGCCCCTCCACTAGAGGTACTCAGCAGAAGTTGGAGGACTTGTTAGACTGTGAGCCCCTGGAGAACACGGATAGAATTTGCCCGTCTTCAGTACTTATTGAATTCATATTTTGGGAGGAAATTGAGCAAACAATTGTGCACCTATTAGGATGTAGATGCCGTCCTGTATTGAATTAAGTTGTGCTGGATATGAGATATTCTCTAAGGTCACTATTTCCAATCTCAGATTTAGTTCAATAAAAGAAGAATTTTGTCAGAACAGTTTTAAAAAATTTAACCCCTGTTAACCTCAAAGAACATTTATATTTTGCAAATATTTCTAAATAATATACTGCTATAAATAGTGACATAATCTGCTGTCTCTTTTCTCCCCCCTTCTTCCTTTTATTTTTCAGTACATACAAAACAGGATCAAGAGCAGGGAGGATGGCATTGCAATGCGAAAGAAACTTTTTAATACTCCAGAGGAATCCGAAAAATAAATTGCATTTTCACTGGATGCCTTGGCTGAGAGAAGACCTAAAGACTCTGGGTTGATACCTGAAGGAATCCTATCTTATTTGGTCTCCATAATCCTTTGAATAGAAGGTGACCTGTGAGAGATTGAACTGTGGAGAAATATGAAAACCCTGGATTCTGAGTGTTTGTTGGGCAGGGCGTTTAGTACCGTCTCCCCTTTACCAGCAAACCTGACTTCACCATGTTTCTTCCCTTTGCCTACAGCCAGTTAATATCTGAGTAACTTATCTCCCTCAATAAAATAATTTATTTAAATAATTTTTTTCTCCTTTCTCTTAGAGTCTCCTGGCATTAGGGCAAATGATGCCATTAGGCTTTTTCTTTCTGACAATATGACACTGAAGAGTTCTGGGGAAATACCATCAGTGTTAACTATTTGAAAATGTTCCAACTTTATTGTTTTTAAAGAGTGATTTTCTAAATGATTAAAAAAGATTTTTTTTTTTTGAGACATAGTCTTGCTTTGCCGCCCAGGCTGGAGTACGGTGGTGCGATCTCAGTTCACTGTAACCTCCACCTCCCGGGTTCAAGTGATTCTCCTGCCTCAGCCTCCCTAGTAGCTGGGGCTACAGGCACAGGCTACCATGCCTAGCTGATTTTTGTATTTTTGGTAGAGACAGAGTTTCTCCATGTTGACCAGGCTGATCTCAAATTCCTGAGCTCAGGTGATCCACCCACTTCAGCCTCCCAGAGTGTTGGGATTACAGGTGTGAGCCACTGTACCCAGACTAAAAGATTAAATATTTACACGTAACATTGAAAAATTGCATCTGGTCAGGAATTGAGTCTTAGCAGACTTTGCTTTCCCATTTGGTTGAATGTGCCCCCTCGAGGTGCCAGTTAACCTTAGGCCAGTGTGTCTCCTCTCTGTTGAGTATAGGACTGTTCTTCCCGTGCCCAATTCTAGCAGTCATCTCACCAGTGTTCCTTCTGCCAAGTGTTTCTGAGACCTGTGACAACCTGGAAGTCAGCAGCTTCCAGCTGCAGCCACAGCAGGGGCTTGATATTCTTGTCAGGTGTCAGGGAACAGACTCAGCTGTGGGCTCCTTCTAGTGGAGTTCTGTGTATAATGTCCAGCATGAGGCCTTGTTGGTGTCGGTGTTTAATAAGTGATTTCCCCATCACAGGAGGCGTTCAAGAGGCTGGACTTTCACTCAGTACGTTGATTACAGAGCATAACAGACATTCAGTGGAAGGATGGGGAAAGAACCAGAATTAATTCTGAAGTACCTTCCAAGACAAAGTGTATGAATATTTATTCAGTCCCCCTAGTGTCAGGCAGTAGAAATACAGAAATGAGACGTTTTTGCCTTCAGAATCTTGTAGTAAACTGATAAGTTGACGTTTAGTCACCTATAATCATCAAAGTGCCATGATTAGGTAGGCGTCATAGAAGATAGAGGACATTCATGTTCAATCTTCATGAAGAAGGAGCTATTCCAAGAAGGCTATTTAGCAAAGATGACCTTTGACAAATGAGTGAACATGGGATACATTCTGAGGCGCTCTTTAAGTCATTTAGCATGACTAGAATATGGGAGCTTAGAGTGGAGGAAGATCACAGACAGCTTTGAAATCTGTTGGAATTTTATTTCCAGTACTTTGATGACCAGTTGCAGATTTTAATATGGTGATTAGGGATTTGGGGAGAGGAGTTAGTTAGAAGACTGATATATTTCAATTTGTATTTTAGTAAGATTTTTTTGGTTATGATTTGGGGGATAAATTGGAGGGGAAGGAAGATTATGCCCAGGGAGACCAATTAGATTTTTGTCCTAACTTAAGTTAGAAATGAGGGCCTGAATGAAAGATGTGGCTTTGGGGATCAAGAGGAATGACGAGTCAAGCATGGAGTCAGCATGGCTGACTAGGTGTAGGGTTTAAGGAAGCATCTAGGATGTCTCAGGCATTGGATTTGTGCCTGTGTGGGAGGGAGTACTGGGGAGGTGAAGTGTGTGTGAAAGATCCAGGGGGAGGTGGCTTCCGGGTTGCTGCTGGGTATTTAGGTCTGCAGCTCGTTAGAGTCGCCTGGATTAGAACAGAATTGGGAGATGTCAGCATACAGATGCCAGCTAAGGCCCTGTAGGCCAGTGTCAGTAGTTGACCATAAGAGCCGGATGAAACTTTGGAAATGAATTTTTAAAAATTTTATTAGTAAGATATGAATGCATTTTTTGGGGATATTCAAACCACCTAATGTTTTTACATCTTACACTCTGTATTCCAGCTGTTGCTGATCCCTGTAGAATAAAGTACACACTCAAGGCTATGGCAATGATCTACCTTTCCAGCTCCCTCTAGGAAGGGAGTTTGAGAAATAAAATGCTAGTGAGCTGGAGCACAGTGAGCAAGGGAGAGGGTAGCATGAGCTGAGGACACAGGTAGGCAGGGCCAGAACACACGGGCCTTGGACACCACCTCAGGGAACTTGGCATGTTATTTGGAGGGTAATGGAAAACCATTAGAAGGTTTTAGGGATTGGTTGTGATTTCATTTATTTATATTTTATAAAGATCTTTCTGGTTATTCAGTGAATAGTTATGGTTAAACCAGTTCAACCCAGTGACAGTACCTGTCACATAGAGTTTTTGTGAGGATTGGTTGAGACGTATGTAATAAATTATCTGGCACAAAGTAAGGGCCCCCTCAATATTGTTATTCTCTCAGGTGCACCCAAATGGGAGTATTGGAAACACTTCCCCTGTACTTTGGTCGAATGCACCAAATCACTAGGGGTGATACCATTTGAGTGGGGCTCCAGCTGATGGGGTAGGGGGTGGAGGGGTGAGGGGCTTAATATGAGGCAGAAGGAAGGGCCAGGCCTCTAGAACTCATCCCAAGCCGGCCCCATTCTCTGGCTCCCTGTAGATCCTGCCTTTCCATAGAGGAAGCCAGTCCCAGGGGTGGCTGCATCTTATTCCATGCTTTACATCTCGTCAGCCTTGTTGACTTTCCCCAGCCTACTGTAGATCAGAGTGAAATCTGTTTCTCCTGTCTAGAGCAAGCACACTTCTTCCTGAGGATTTCCAAATACTTTAAATTCCCACATGCAGTAGAAACCCAAGAAGCTGGAGGGAGAATGGGGTTGGGAGGTGCAGAGGTTCCATGTCTTCTTGCCTTTATGAAGCATGAGGCATTGTGCTGGGTGCAGGTGATACCATGGAATAAGATGGATGTGGTTCTAGTGATGGTTCACATCACGAAGGACCATCTGTGTCCTCTTAGGGAGTCTGGCTTTCCCACTAAGGGCAACAGGAAGGCATTGTCGGGTCTGTGCAGGATGCCAAGTGAAGCAAGATATTTACTTACTGTTGACTTGCAGACAATAAGTACACCTTTGGGTCACAAGAGACCATCTCTTGGGAGCTGAAGAGCTTAGGCCAAGGTTTTCCTGAGAAATCTAGTTTTGCAGAATGCTGTGAACCTTGATGCTCTGGTGACAGTGAATTAATGGTTTATTTTAGGAAGCACTACACAATTTTACTTAAGAGTGAGGATAGAAAGTTGAGCTGTTTCTGACCTTTTATAAATGAGGTTTAAAATCAGATTAATCTCCATGGAGTATTTAGCTCCAGGCACAATTAGTTTTCTATAGAAAGGGCTTAGGCTGAACCAAATTATGCCATTGACCTGCCTGGTGGACATACAAATCATTCTCTTCTTAGGAAAAAAAAAACAAAAAACAAAAACCTCACTGTCCCAAGGGAGTTGCTCCTGTTACTACACCCTGATATTGAAATTGGTACCCCTTAAATGATACCATATTCAGGGAATCAGCTATGCTGGAATCTACCTTAATCCATAGACATTCCTGCCTCCCCTAGAGAGGTCAAGACATTCCTGCCTCCCCTAGAGAGGTCACTGAAGGAGATAAGTACATAGCAGAAAGTGGTAGAGGGAAAGCAAAGGTATGCTTTATTGTTACCGGTCTCCTGCCTCTGATGTCAGATGAAGCAGGTGGCCTGAGCTAGAGACCTGTGGGGCCATTTCTGTCCTCTAAGCTCTAGTCTGATCTCACCAGCAGCTGGTCACATGGGAGGACAGGAGATGGAGGACAAGGTTGACAGTAGGGAGGGGAGAGCAGAGACAGGTGGCTGAGTTTCTCTCACTTGGAGAAAAGAAACTGGCTGAGTGGATACCACGTCTGAAATGAGGGAAAGGGAAGATTGCCCAAATCTCGTAAAGGAGCTTTTTTGTGCTATTAATGCCATTCTTTTTTGTGACAAAATGTTTCAAGTTTACAGAAAACTATGCAGAGTAATATGAACACGCACATAGGTGCTAAGTCTATTGATATTTCATCGTATTTTTAAAAAATACAGGTTTAAAAAAATAATAATACAAAACTGGGTAAAGCCTCCTGTGTTTGTCACCCCAAGCCTGTTCCACTTATTTATTGGTGGTAACTACTACTGCTACCCTACTATACTTTAATATATTTCATTCCCATGTATGAGTTCATATATGTATATACACATATATATGTCAGTATCCATAGCCATATTTTATTTTGCATGTTTAGACATGTTACTTAGGAGACGTCATGATGTGTGTAGTCTTTGGTAGCTTACCTTTTTTTAAAAAAAATATATTATATTGATAAATGAGGCTCTTGTTTATTTGTTTTGCCTGCTATATAGCATTTCATTGTAGGACTATACCAAGGTTTATGTGTTTCCCCGTAGATGGTCACTTAGATATCCAGTCTTTGCTATTATAAACTTCGATGAAAGTTCTTACATACCTTCTTGTGCAATCTCGGGAGAGTATTTTAAGGTATAAACCTAGGATTTTAATTATTGGACTGTAAGGTATGCATTTTCAGACTTACTAGAAGTTGCTAAATTACACCCCAAATGATTTTAAGATTTTATGATTTTGTTTTCTTTTTTTTTTTTTTTTGAGACAGTGTCTCACCCCGTCACCCAGGCTGGAGTGCAGTGGTGTGATCTCGGCTCACTGCAACTTCTACCTCCTGGCTTCAAGCAATTCTCGTTCCTCAGCCTTCTGAGTAGCTGGGACTACAGGTGTGTGCCACCATCCCTGCTAATTTTTGTATTTTTTAGTAGAGACAGGGTTTCACCATGTCCAGGCTGGAAGATTTTATGATTTTTAAAATTGTGATCCTATACATCTTTTGCTAGTTTCGTTTCTAAGGGGTATTTTTAAAATTACTTATTCTAATATCTCTTTAAAAATTTTTTATAAAGCTGGGATTATAGGCATGAGTCCCTCATCCAATTTATTCTAATTTCCTA